AGAGAGAGAGAGAGAGAGAGAGAGAGAGAGAGAGAGAGAGAGAGAGACTACTAAAGCTGATCCGAGGATAAGAACTGCAGAGTAAAACTAAAAAATGACAGGGAGACAGAGAAGTATGGTTTTCATTTCCACAGCACAGTACGAAAGTAAAGTAAAACAGTGCAGAGCGCAGCGAGCCTTTTCAACCTTTCAGCTTTTCAACAAACAGCCAGCCAGTGAAATATTGATGCTTCAATTCCAACAAAGAAATGTCTGAATGATTTTTGGTACATCTGAGTGGGGAAATTCACCCATCTATAATTGATACAGCTAACTGGACGGGAAAGCACCGGAACAGAGAAATAACAGGAGGGGGGAAAGTGTAAGTGTGTGTGTGTGTGTGTGTGTGTGTGTGTGTGTGTGTGTGTTTCTGCCCTCTTTCCTGTGTCAGTGGGTTTGTATGTGGCTCTTTACGTTCATAGTACCCATTAGATTCCTGAGAGACAGTGGTCTCCTCTCTGGGCTTCTATGTGTAGGAAGCATTCATACATGCCATGACAGTCCTACGAAGACGAGGAAAGGCCAGCAGTTTCTTTGAAGGCGAAATGAAGAAGACGTCGTAAAAACATTCAGATGTTTTTGTGTTTCGTCTTCAGCTTTGATAACTAGCTTCCCCGTCTCAGCATCTTCCCACATTTCTTTGAAAATTAAAAATGTCCTTCTGCACTCCAGTTGTTGATGAACTTATCCAATTGGTTTTACTGTGTAAATGTTGGACTTCATATTGTTGTACTTTTGGTATAATTGCCAATTTAGAAGCTGCAGCCATGACCATCTCTGGAAAATGGATCACATTTTTGATTTTTTTACACTTTCATAATGTGTTCACTTACATTTTTTGAACAGTGCTTGTGCTGGATCAGAAACCATTGCACATGTTGCCTCAAAAAGCCCAGTGAGACCGTTTTTAATGTTTGAATACTCTTTCATATTCCTCTTTAAAGTACCTTGTAAGCTATAAAAAAAAGAAAGACTTTTACTATGATCACTCTTTCAGTAAGCTTAAATAGGATTCAGGTCTAAGCCAGTCTGCCTGCATTCACCATGATTTCCCAGCATGCCTATTTTTCTTGATGTCTGTGGGCTGTATTTTCATTTCATGCTGCAGAACCGCCGGCCTTTCTTTCAGCTTTACCATGAAACCAAAGCCAAACAGCTCAAAAACAATGGTGGACACCAAATCCTCTAATCTGTGTTAATTCTTCTAAAGTGTGAAAACCATCCTGGAACAGTAAATGTGTTGTGATTAGACTTTGATAATTAGAGACAGGGGGCGAGGGAGGTCCCAGAGTGATTATTATGGGATAGCTAATGCCAGAGAAACAGGAGGAGAGTGGGCTGAAGTTCACTCTCGCACAGAGACATGCTGGTGGAGGCAGAAGCTCCAAAGAGACAGCAAGAGAAGTTTGTAGTAAAAATTCCCAGAGTTGTAACACAACCTCTCTTTTTTAACTTTTTTTTTTTCTCCATAATCCTTAGTTTGCTGCCCATCCCATGCCTTTAAAATCTACCAACCCATCCACCCATCCATCCATCCAGTCTTTACCTGCAGTCCAGTTTCTCTATCTCAAAGTGTGGGTTGAAGTTGAGGACGATGCGTTGTGAGGGCTCAGGTGCTGTGATGACCCAGCGACAGTTCTGGTGAGGTGGGTACTCCAGCGGGTAGCCGGGGGTGGTGATGTAGCCGGCATCGCTGGCATCTAAAAAGCCACCGCATGGCTCAGACGCTGGATGGGGAGAGAGACAGAGAAAGCGAAATCACCATCACTGTCTCACACACAAGTCAAGTTAATGCAGAAACATGTTTACTTTCTGCGGCCAATCGATCAGCTATTCCAGTGGGCCCTTTCGGTCATTTATAAAGCTTGTTAACCTGAAGTCTAAATGTACACAAAAGGTCTAGAACCCATGCACTATATCACCTTGTGTAATATGGAAATCTCCCTGTACACTGAAAGTACCTGAAGCTTTGATCAAATCATTGAGAATGCTTAATATGTTTCCATTGGTTAGTACACAAGTTTACACATCAGACAAAGGTCATTGATCTGTTTTTCCCAAAGTGATTAAATCAGCTACGACAAACAGATGGGAGAATAGAGGGCAGACTTTTGACTGAACTATTAGGGGGTGAAGAAATACATTACTATCGAAAGACATATAATATTTAATTGCAAAAAGAGACAACATAGAAGGACTGATCAGATAAACCTCCAATAACAATATGCAACAATAATAGCTTCCCCCACAGCAGCAGACGTAAGTGTAGAATACCATCGGGGTCAATGCTTTTGCTTATCACGACTGACCAGAAGCACGTTCTCTACAAACTCTTTCAAATTATTGTTTTTTTTCTCACATATTTGTTCATTAAGCAGGATTTCACACCTGGGGAAATGTTCAACACTGATAAAATGCAGATAAGAGTTGTGTTTGCAGAGACAGGATACGAGAAACAAAGAAGAGTGTTGTCTATGTGGATGTAGTTCTGAAAGGTCAACTCAGCATCGCGGCATACAAAGAGTCCATTCTGACCCATGAAGACTGACACACTGACACACTGACACAGACACACAGTGGACGGGTCCTCCAGATGCCACAGCTACTGTCACAGAGCGGATCCACTTGTCAGCAGCCATAAGTCTGCGTCGTGTCACAAACAATGCCACTCATTCACTGCCGCAGATGTACACCCTGACATAGACGGGGTAACTCATATATATCAGTGACACCCGACGGCATAACACACACACACACAACTCTACTGTATTACATCTATGGCATCTATTGTACTCCATGCTGGCTGCCCTGTTTGATTGACTGTGCAGACTTTGAACATGAGCTGAACTTCTTCATTGTTTAACATCTGCAAAACTCAAGTTAAATCATCACGGTGTATACACTAAGTAACATTTTTGTTAAGTAGCCACCATCTGCCAGAAGGCCTCAAGAAACAAGGCTGTTTGTATCCTCAAATAACACTGCACCGACCAAATATAAGTATATAATATAATGACTATCGGTACTAACGGACAAATTACTTATTTTAGACATATCTCAAGTGTAGTTTTGGTAAAGAGAGAAAAATAAAAACAAATGTTTTGTGGTATTTCCTTTGTTAAGGAGACCATTACTTTGAAAGAACTACTTTATTTGTAAAACTGCAAACTGTACGTTTTTTTATCTTTATTTTTATTCAACATTGATTTTACCGGGATATTCCAATTAAGATTAAAAATGTCTTTCTTGAGGGTTTCCTGGCCAAGACGGCGGCATAAACAGAATTAAAACAAACAGCAGATGACATCAGTGGTCAAATAGTCCATAATCCTGTTTTTAAACTTGAATGTTTATAAAATAATCTAGTTTTGATGCGTAGCTCCAAACAAGATGAGGGCACAAAAACTTTAAAAGCACTTTCACCAAAGACGGTGCAGGTTTTGAGAAATGACGCACATTATTTAACCGCATGACCGGAGGTTGCAGCCACTGATAGTGTTAAGAGTCAGTAGAAAACATAGCAGATACAGTTTCAACAAATATTTTGGGCAAATGGTGGACCAGGTTATACTAATAAAAAGAGCTGTGAATGTCGGCCGCTTGCTGGGAAGAATTTGTCCGGTGAGCAACCCCTGAGATTATTTCCTGTTGATGAGAGGAAAAAACAAACACACAAACAAGCTCCTGACCGTCTATATATTATTATTTCAATCAGGGCTAAATGTCCCTCAGGAAACCTTCCTCATCATAACATCGAGAGAAAGAAACATTGTGTAACGTCTTGGTCTGTACCACCGCCTAGGCCGCTGTCCTATGTCGCCGTTTTATTTATTGCCCCTGTGCTGCTGAGTGGGGGGACATAGCCAAGTCAAACTACTCAGCAGAACACTACATATTTTAACACTATAAATAGACCGGCTACTGTAAACCTACTCTGAGAGGAGTCACACATGCAAACATTAACACACGCTGCATAAACACTTTATCGGACACCACATTCTAAATTAAAACATAGATCTCAAATCTCTTCATTTTTTTTTATCATGTCTGCATACATGCAAACTGACTGACGCATACACACTCAAGAGTCAGGAAGGGAGGATTAGAGCGGAGGTCAATACACAGTAAACAAAGTGATTGACACTTTGGCATCTATATCTGGTGTCCGCCTCACGCTGCCTGCAAGCAATTCATGATCACCGCTCTGTATCGCTCTGCCTCTGTCCGTCTCTCCCTCCTCCGTCATGCTGTGAGCCAACTAGTCGTGTCTATCTCCTCCTATCGGTTTCCAATCTCCCTGGTGACATACGGTAATACAGGAGTAGAGTTGCATGGCCTATGTAACCCGGCCAGATGCATTTTATCTCAGCACCACCTGGATTAGTGTTTAAACACTCTGGAATCTCACAGCAGCAGCAGCCAAACACCACTTTTAGCACACGGCGTAGCAAACTAAAATCTGGCATATGCGAGGGGTAAACATCTCGGGTTGTTAAAGAAATGCCACTGGTTATAACCAATTGCTTGGGAACTCATAATGTATACTTAGTTATTGTTAGTTAGTTGGGATAGGTCTGGAAATAAGAAGAGAGCAAATATGTTTTCATTAGATTCAGTCCCCAGATGAAACTCTCCTACGTTCACCTCTGGCGTTCAGCCGATAAAGACAGCACCTCCAAGTGTCTGATGAATAAGGCTGGTGTGATAGAGCGGCAGACACTCTGTGTGCGTGAAGTATTGTGTCTGCTCTGCTTTGAGGGTCCATCAATCTCCACACACACAAAGTCATTCAACGTTTATCACATCCAAATAGGGCAGGAAATGAGAAACACTGAGGTGATGAGTGCGTGGATGACGTCACATCCTCCTACACGAGGCGCCACGAAAGACATTTTAAGTGAATTTGATATTCTTTGTTTATTTGGTTCATACAGACACACACACAAACATACATATATATGGGGGATATGGGGAGGTTAGGCAACAAAACTACTTGGTTTCGTGACAGTTAAATCAACGTTGACTTCCGGTTTTACGCAGGACACAAAAAACAGTCTCCTGGGTGGAAGTCTGGTGTTTTTGGATCCACCCATCCACCACAACCTCATTACTCAGAGTTTGTCACTCTTTACACTACGTCACCTGTACGTACAAACTGCCGGAACAGAAGAGCCACTATCAACATTTCCTCTGTCTCAGTTTGTCCGTCCCTCACAGAAAACACAAACACTTCCCTCCTCTTGACCCCAGACTTCACATTATGATCTTCAGACCACACTCACTCTCTCACACACACACACACACACACACACACATACACACACACACGGAATAGAGCAGTAAACGGTGCTAAGCAGTCAAGCAGGGATATAAGACAGGTCACTGCATTATTTATGTCTCTCCACCACGTTTAGTATTGCATCCTGATAACACCTATTCAGCAACTTTTCCCCACATGCGCATACCTCAACAGAGATGCATCCATACAGAAATGTAATAAAAACTTGCATGCACAGCACCATGCACACAGGGAGGCACACAAACTATCACACACAGACGCAAACAAGGAGAAAAACACGCACAAGCTTGGAACCGCTTTGAGAAATTGAACTAGAGACTTGTTTGTTGTCCCCAAATGCAAATTGCCTGACCTTGTTTTTTTTTCGCTCTCTATCGCAGATTAATTTTCCCTCCGATTAGGGAGTCGGATCCGAATCGAAAGAGACACTTTTCAGTGTTTCTCAATCGATTTGGTAGTCTGTGAGAACTCTGCTGTTGGACCGTACCGCATTCATTTCCATCGGCCAGAGCGCATAATGAAAGCATTAGTAGTTTAGTAAGTGTCTGAGTATGAAAGTGAGAAAGCGTGTCTCACCCAGCTAACCAGAGAGCTTGTTGGAAACGAGGCTGGTATTTGGCAGATCAGCTTATTATCCACCAACACGGGCCCCGATATACTCAAAACAGCACAGCGAGCCTCACGTTCTCATTATTGTGACCTTGATGCACACAGGTCCCTGAATTTATCAATCAATATACTCCATCTGCATCAAAGCCTGGGGGAGGGGAAAATGCTAATTGTCCTCATTGATTTCTATGCATTTCCTACTGTTCACAAAGCATTTTCAAAAGGATGGATTCAGTTCCAGCATCATGAAGCACTCACAAAACGCTTCAGGCATTGTTACCTTAAACGGTAGAAATAGACACGTTTGTAGCTGTGTCTTTGGGGATATGAGAAACACTGAAAATAACAGGCTGAAATGTCTTCTTTGGATCAGAACCAAGGAGCTTTTAGTCAAACCTGGGAAACCTCAGGAATGGACAGAGAGAGTGAGAGTGAGAGAGAGAGAGAGAGAGAGAGAAAGAAAGGAAGAAGGATGCCGAGCAGGAGAAAAGAAAGAAAGCGAGCACAATGCCAGAACATCTGTCTCTCATCACCCGAAAAGAGAAAGTCAGCAGCTCAGAAAAGCTCACTGGACAGAAAATACAACTGTCTCCAACACACACTCACTCACACACACACACACGCACAGACGCACAAACAGGTGGGGTAGTGCTTTACTCCAGGTGCCCTGCATTAAGCCACAGTGGAAAACTACAGCGAGAAAAGAGATGTGTGAAATAGAGAGAGGGATGGCAGACGACTACAAAGGGTCTGAGAAACAAAAAGAGCGATGGGAAAATGGAGAGAAGAGAGACAAGGAGTCGTAAAAAAAAGGATGAG